GACGGGACCTGGCGACGCAATCGTAAAGCATTCGCGAGCCGTGTAAACGTTATTTAGACGCCGGGCGACAAACCGGCTGCGTTTAGACGATTCCGAGGCGCAATTAAGGGCATTACTTCGCCCCCCCTTTATCTGTAACTCTCGCTAACAACGTTGTATTTCGCATCGAACGTTCATGTAAAACGCGTTGTAATTCGTCGATCGGAAATACGTTAAGATAGGAGCGAAGATAACCGACACACATTATCGTTGTCCCCTCCTGCGTACTTGGTATCTACGCCCAAGAGTACCAACTTCACAGCCTCGAATAACCAGGAAGTCCAGTATCGCTGTTTCCACGTGCCTCTTGCACAATATTCTATTACCTAATAATATCACTCATTTAATATATATATATATATAAATTTACTTATATTAATTTGCTCCTAGAATATTGTGCAAGAGATCCCAGGTGTCCAAACCGAGACCTAATAATATTTTGCGTATAAATTTATTTAGCGAAACTATTTTTAGAACTGTTCTACTATCTGATAATATCTTATATATAAATTTACCCAGGTGTTGAAACCAAACTATCAAAGAATTAATTGTAGTATCTCGTTATGTCTCAAAATGTCCTCCGTGGAACCAGAGGCCAATCTGTGTACAAATTTGTTGAAAATGTTTCCGTTCTCGTCAATATTGCAGAAGCAGTACAATTATGCGCATAACTTATATCGTCCAACTATTTGGCAACAGTAATAATTAGAAGCTAGTAGAACATTTGCATTCCTTATCTTCCGTGAGCGTAGTTCCAAGTTTCCAACGACTCTATCGTCCGGTAATAAAATTCCACCGTTGGAATGCGTACGATTTATCGTGCACATAATATTATGCTGTATAATAATTATTGTAATCGCGGAGGACGATAGCGTCGCAAACGTTAAAGGCCTTTCATTTCCCATTTCCGAGGCGCTGTGTAACGTTTATAAATTCTATGACGCCCCCGCGACACAGAAACTATAATTCCGATACGATGTTTAACGCTTCGGTCGCAACCGACTATTACACGATAATTGACATCATCAAGGAAACCTATTTTCCTTGTAGGACACAGGTATTATTCTCCTAATCCATCGAACGTTCCCAGTATCAATGCAACTCGAAATAAAAAAAACATAAAAAATTATTTCGCGTTAGAGGAAAAAGGGCCCAAAAATAGTAATGGAGTTTACTGTTTAGGCGAGTGTAAAGCGAACCTATCTAACACGAGCTAATAAATCGTAAGTTGGGTGTTGTTCCACAGCGAACCGAGTCGAGAGTCCAGGGATCGTCAAACGTCGCGTACCGTTTGACAACGAGAGACAGAACGAAAGAGGAGAAGGTCTTTTATCGTGGAGCGGATCGAAACGAGGGAAAGCCGCAGGTTCGAGCGTGCACGCGGCGCGTTAAAGGGAACAATGCGAGAGTCGCGGCTCTCCCGATGCAAGTTGCACCTTTCTCGCGGCCCATGCGGGCAAACCTAACCCGTATTATTATCATCTAGCCTCGCGGCTGCACCTGCGCGTTCGCTGTTATTTTCTTCCCGCTCCTTCCACCCTTTTTTCGGCAACGGGGTAGAGAGAGAGAGGATCGCGCGCCTGCGTCCCTCGACAAAACCAACCCCTTCTGTCCTCTGCCTCTTCCCGCCACTGGACCTAACCCCCGTAAATCAGAATTTAATTTTCCCTTTCGCCTCGAATACGTTTCACCCTCCAGGGACGGGTTCGCAGCCCACCAAGCGTCCGCGCGATTCAAACAAATCCAATTCGATTCGTTGCTCGTTATTTATCGCGTGTTATTATTCCCCATTAACCCTAATCCTGCCGGGGCGCAACTTTCGACGATGCACCAAGTTCGAGTAAATAAATTCACGTCGGTAGTTGGGTATTTCATAACGCAACAGTGCAGTAAGTATCATTAAAATGAGTTTACCAAGGTACGATTACTCCAATTCGGTACGCAACCCCGTTGGGGTTAGGTCACATCAGGATTATTTGGTTTCAAGCAGTTCTTCTAAGTCAGGTTTTATAGCAGCACTTTGGCCCCCGGGAACCTTCTTAAATTCTCCCGTAGGAGGCTCTCGGGAACGTCGAACAGTAAATCAAGTTTTTCCCGGGTTTGTTCCACCAATAAAGATTATCCTCTTTGGTTTCTATTTTGCCTTTTAAGATTAGCGCGCGTGCCCAATTTCGACACCCCATCGAGGCTCGTTACGTTAATACGATTATCGATGGATCTTCAGAAAACTCATCGTCGTACAAACGTGGACAAATAAACGTGTAAATTTGATGAATTATTATCCCATGAACACAATATTTACCTCACGTGTTTTTTTATTATACTTTCCCGCTGCCGCATATATTTCTCGATCAACGCGATAAACACGTAAAATAGAATAAATATAAAATAAATCAGATCCCCGGCGTTGGAAATTTCGTTCGTGCAAGAAACCTTTAAGAACCGTTAAGCAGGATCGATGAATCTTATCAGCTGCGCTATTACGCGCGCACAATATCGCCGAGATTTATTCGTCAACGCTAATCGAATTTCGCGATTACTGCGATTCGACGATCTCGCAAATTTCCTGGCCACCGTGGAACCAGGAGCATAGACTATACCCGGTGCACGCGCAGGTCGCAGGAATTTTAATCGCCTCATAATTAATTTAACTCGACACAGCGGCGGACGATAAATCTTCTCGATACCTACCGAGCGAATGCATTGCTAGCACGAATATACGTGTACATATATGTACGTATATCTTTACAAAAAACACCGGGTATAAATAAAAAAGAAACAGAGAGTATTTGAGGCGATCTTTCGGTATAAATAGACAAAGTTCCCTCGTGGTGATCGCTCTATCGGCTCTAGAGATTATCTTCCTAGAATTTACTAATTAGCCAGTATCGATTTTTACTGCTCTATCGATCGGCCAGAGTTCCTTCGAGCGCAGGAAGAAAGTTGGATTGAGTAACAACGGGATCGCGTAACTACGCTGATCGATCGTAATCGAGACTCAATAATTTTTAAAGAGGGATTCGATTTACAAGAGTGACGCAACGGAGGATCGATCATCGATCGACAGCCAGCGCATTTACGACCGGTCCCAAAGGTGTCGTGCACGCGAGCGACGGCCGTCGGTGAACATTTACGCGAAACAGGTGCACCTATCCGGGGGGAACCTATTGGCTGCACATGGGAAAATTTCACTCTCGATCATCGACAGCCGCGATCGAAACTTTCTCCGCGTACGCTCGGAACCGTCGATCGTTCGGATCGCGCGCGAGCGTTAATCGTCGCGGAAACGAGAATCTCGTTCGAGCAAAACCAACGTATGCTAATTTCAAATTGCCACCGTACGGACGAATGGATTTTCAGCGCTATTTTACGTCAGAATTTGAATAAATACAGTTTCATGGCACTCGCAGAACTGCATCTCGCGTCCAATCCTCTCGTTGTTTAGATCGGAGATAGCGTAGCTCGTATTTCCTATTAGCAATTATAATGGTTCTCATAAATTTTCCTTACTCGGCCGTTAAATTCTATCCCGTTCGTAAGTACGAGCTTTTTATATCGATCGTTAATTACTGGTGTCACCCTTTCAGAAAAGAGTTGTTGGAAAATTTTACCACGGGTCAAAAGTGATCCTACCGTCGATACCTCTCTCATCCTCTGTTTAAATTCCATTCGCTCGCTGTAAAATATTTCATTTCGCGATCGAAACTGCAACTTTTTATTCTAACGAGCAACGGATAAACGGTTGTTTATCTTTTGCTTGTCGTTCGAAATTTTTATCTAGATAAAATGCGAGGCTATGTTTAGAAACAGCACCTCGGTGTGCACACTTCATTTTCTCTTATCTTGTCTCTTGTGGTAAATGAATGTTTACCGTATATATATAATATCTAACGTTTGCTTGTGCAATAAAGACGATAAATAAAGAAAATGAATAAACGTTGCGCGAAAGGTAACCACAGCTGTTTCGACGTCGAAGCAATATTTTCGTGAAAACTTCCAACTCGAACCGTGACCCACGACAACTCCAAAATTAGGTCCCAACGAGGAAGCAGCCTTTAATTGTCAGCTGTCTGCTTTACAATGCGTCAGTTTTCCGGAAAAAAAGAATAGCAAACGATCGTAAACCGTGATTAACGATGTTTCTAAAATTGCTACCCGGTAAGCGACCATCGTTAGTCGAATAATTGAGGTACGACTTTGCAGACAATGGAGCAGAAACCGTTATCCCTACGGCCTCTATCCCTATGGGAGGATTTGTCTCTTTCTAGCTAGGATTTTTCAGCGAAAATAAACAACGATATTTGGAGCAGCGTTGCAACTAAGGTCGAAAAGTATACAGTGACTTTGAAGAGTCTCAGAACAGTTGTGCTTCGATTTAGATATTGTTTATAGGACGTCGAGCAGGTATTGCAAGACTGTCGTAACAATAATTCGAGAGCTTGTTAGCGTAAGTGATACCTAGCCCTACTCTATTTCAATTTCTAAAGGATTATGGTTGGGGTCGAGGGCTAAATAGACGTTAGCTAGGGATTTAAAATTGCGTACTTCGGAAGGATTTAACCACAGAGCAGAGTAAATAAGAACAACATTTTTACGTGCCAGAGACAAGTCAAAAGACGGATTCGTGGGTCGTAAAATTCGCAGACTCCGTTTTACTACTCAGACGATGGGCGTACGCTCCAATTTCTCCGTACAGCGAAACACGCTCCAACTTCGAAGACGTTAATAACGATTTGCGGACTGGCGATCGTCGACGTTCACTATTGTCGCGATGTATGCACGTTTCGGGTATCCAATCGAAGCCAACCCATCGGGCACAAAGGATTACTTGGAGTAACAGTAATTTTCTCGAGGAAAGCGATCGATCAAACCTGTTCTGCTCGAACGTGAAAAGGTGTATTTGAGCGCGTCCCGTCGTCCAAGTGGTAGCAGAGCTAGGTGCCGTCGGTTTGCGGACTCACCTGTGACGCCGACGGATACGAGTACCCGAACTGCGCGTACGCTGACATCTCGGCCGGTTCGACGGGCGTCGACGGTCGGGTTGTCTCTCGAGTTACTCTCGCGGCCGACAACAACGAATTAGGTCACAAGAGCACCTTGCACGCACTGCACTGTCTACACTGAGTCAAGTACTACTCCCGATAGGGACGCGACGAACGTAACAGGATCTCGAGCGGCGGCGAACGATCGGGATGTCTCGCCGGAACGGTGACTGCCATCAGGGTGTCTTGGAGTCCTGAGCGTGGAATCCGGGCGGCGAGCACATGTCGGTGGGGCTGGTCACTTCCGACGGACGAACGAGAGTCTCGGCCGGGGAATCCAACAGCGCGAGGCACACCGGACCGATGAGTCGCGGAATCCACAAGGCACGACGCGACCAGACACGATGCACTACGATTACTAACACGCGTGGAGCGGAACCCGTCACGTTTGTAAGCGCGCGCGCGACGCGACGCGACGCGTCACACCTCGTCGGGTCGGCGTCACGACGTGAAAAAGAGAGAAAACGGGCAACGACGTCGTCTGTGCGGCGCGACGGCCGATGGGACGGACATTCGGACAGACGACGAAGCGTCACGAGCGATTAGTTATAGAGAGTTCGTTCGTTCGTTCGGTCCGCCCCTGCTCTCACAGGGCACTCCAGTCTGCGACTGACTCGCCACCACTCACACCACTTCATCGGCCTTCCGCTCCGCTCCGTCCCAGTTCCCCCTCTGGCGGAGAAAAACCGAACGCACAACGTGCCCCCACCGCGCGGCGTGGGAGGTGGCCACGGCCTGTCGACGAATCGAGGGCCTCCGCGCGACTCCTCGGGCGTGTCACGTGGGACGGGACCGGCCCTACGATTGGTCCATCGTTTCGCGCGCGGGCGTCCTTTCGAATCGAACGTGCCCACCACCGCCGCGACGCCACCCATTCTCCCCACCGCTCGGCGAAATTACCGTGAAACGATACAGCTTCGCCGCCCGCCGCCCCCAGCCCGCGGGCCGAGCGTCGCCCGCGACAAACGGCCACGGCGGAACAAGGAGAAACGAGTATGTTTACGCGAGTCTACTCTTGTCAACCCGACGGCGAGGGACTCGAATAAATCTGTCGGCCTCTCTCGCGCTCGCCCTCCCCCGCTCTCCGTGCCCACCCGAATCTCTCCTCTTTCTTTATCCAACGGCCGGAGCCACCTTCTTCCGGCTTATATCGCGCCATTGTCCGGCTCGTGAAATCGCCGAGTACCCGCGATGCGTCGTGCCGCCCGTTTCCACGCTTCCCGGCCTCGGAAACTTTGTTACGGCTACGTGACAGGAACGAGCAAACGTCTGGGTTACAAGGACACCCTTCTTGCGCTCGCTGACGGCTCCGGAGGGGTGTTTCGGGGACTCCCGGCGAAACGGCCGTGACGAGAAGTTTCGTCACGCCGTCACGCGCTCCCGAATATCCAAGAATTCTACTCGCTGCTCGGAGGATCGTATAGTTTATTAGCCGAAAAGTGGTTCGTCGAGTGGAATTTTAACCCTTTGCACCGGGGCTGTCCCCCCTGAAGGGACGTCCAGCTAAGAATTTTGATGTACCCTTTAAGGGTTTTGAAGTGATTATATAGGAAGAATGTAAAAAAAATTACATGTCTTGCTATCTATTTCGTAGGAAAGTGTGCTTGAGTTAGTAGTAGGTGATCGAAGAAATGTCTCCGAGTTAAGGAAATAAATATAAACCGTTGGAGCCAAACTACCCTCCTGTTGCCTCCCAGGAATTTATTTTCCGAACCCAATATCGATTTTAACTACGAATGGGTCCTGAGCGTGGGCTTTGAAAGACGTTAGAGAACACATTGATTTTGTGAAATAACAAAGTTTCAGTGTTGTGATCAATGGTATCGAACTGTTTTCCAATTCGAGTAAATTGCATGAGCTTGTGGCATCGGTAACAGTGTTAATTCAATTATACATATTAATTTCTCTAGTAATAATCACTTCGAAGAAATTAATTTTGTCATGGTTCACAGAAATACCCTCCTTGCGCTCGCTGACAGCGCGGGGATGTTTTTCCATGATGGCAACCGTTTCGTCGAACCGTTAAAAGCTTTGAAAAATATCGCGGAATTTGAATCGTTCCCGGGAAATTGTTTATTAGCGAAAAGTGGTTCGTCGAGCGGTTCGATGATTCGGTGGAATTTTTTAACACGATCGCCGCGGTTTTTTCGCGTACTTTCATATTTGACGGGTCGATTCCACTCCGTGCTAGACTTTCATATCTGGCGACACGGAGGCAAACGGGAACGCAGATTTTTTCAATTACGCTCTGTAGATTTCGATAAAAATAATTGGAAAATTACGGAATCGTCCTCTCAGAGTGCAGCAAAAATTTCTAACGAGCATAAGTGGTGTAAATACGATCACCTCGATTATAAATTTGAAAGAATCGCAATATCAGCATTAACCTTTCGAAATAATCCAATTACTCGGGTTTGTTAATAATAAACGTTTCTATTTTGGCGCGAAATTACTTGGTTTTAAATATTGAATTGCTAGAAACGAAAACAGTGCAAAACTCGACGGTCTAATGTGTCTTGTCTGTCAAAGTAGCTTACTTAAGTGGAGTATTTAATGGATGAAACTTCTTATTCGTACCACTCGTTTCTTAGTACGATTGCTCCAAGGATATTGGCTTCTATTCGCGACAAAATTATTCTTAAAGTAATCTATAATACAAACTCACTACGCCTGGAACACTGCTTGCATCAAAATGGTGTCTTCCAGGTGTGTTTTTCTGGACTTAATCGCGTCAAAGATGCTAAACGATTAATAAAAATATACCACACCTCGGAATAATGCAACCTAGTAAATTTTGTATATACTCTTGAGGCCTTTCAAATGTTCAAATCTAAGAAAAAAATTAAGATCGGAGAGGAGCACTGTTCCCGACGCTGACCGATTCGAAGATTTCACGAACGACGGACGCTGGAAGGATTAGCCACGGGGATGGTTTCGTTCCCGTGGCATTTCGACTAATTTCACGGGTTATTAGGCGCCGGGCTCGACCGTTGCCTGGTCGAGATGTATTTATCCGGCAAATTAGAGTGTCGAAGCTTAACGATGCCGCGTTTTCTCGCAAATACCTTAATAACAACGAGCTGCCGGTCGAACGAATTTCTTGCCCGTATCGAATTTTCAAATAACACGTGAAACACGAACAACTTTCGACCCATTACATGTTCGATGAAAATTCCAATCTGAAATTATACTCCACGACGAACTTGGAAGCTCGTCTTAACTGAAAGTATAGATTACAATTTTCTTCTTTTATATCTTCGAATATGTGAACGAAGATCGTGTGTAAATATTTTATTATTCGATGAGAATTTTCGTTTATATCGGTAAGAACTCTTTGGTCCTCAGAATAAATCATGAAATAATGAGAGAAATAATTTAATGGCCGACGATCGCGGTCGTCCTAAACAATTTCATCGACGGTACGAAACAGAGCGGTGAAAAAGATTGAATTTTTTATTATGGTTGCGTTTTCTTGGCATCATGCTTGGTCGGTCATGTGTCTTATTCGTGTCAATGCGGCCCGCGTGGCGGACGATTTTCCGCGACGTTGCACCGAGCAATTTGCAAACGTAATGCACGCGGCACGTCCGCGTGGAGTTACACGGGACGCGCGAAACGTTCCGACAGGCCTCTCTGCACGCCAGCAAACTCAATCGCGGGCGTCTATCGCGCGGGAAACGCTCCGCGAACTAGAAAGATACGCGCGCCGTGGAGATCGCTCGACCGAGAGAATTCCCCGCGCGGCGATCAGAACCGGAAGCACGATACCTGAGAAGGAAACGGACGCACCACGCGGGATGGAAAAACGCGCGACGAGACAAACCGTTTCCCAAACCCGATCCCCCTTCGAATCGAACCTCCATTTTGAACGATTATGGTATATACAGATACCGTTACTCCTACTCGTACTCGTACATTGCAATGGTCACTCACTTTTCGTACATTTGGTAAAAATAAGTGAAAAAACTTCACGAATAACCTGACCCAAACCTAATCTCCATTTTGGACGACTATGGTTTATATTGGTCGATTCGTGTGTATACAGATACAGTTACTCCAACACGTACTCATACATTATAATGGAGATTCACTTTTCAAACAAGTTTCTTTTCATTTGTAGTGAAATATATCATTATAGTGTACCTACGAATGCAAGTGGGAGTAAATACATAAACATTTTTGAAAGCTGAAGTTCAGGATATGTTTATTTATTCACGGGATTAACCTAACCCATTAGTAAAGAAAGAGATACAAGTATGGAGGATAGTTTCGTAAAAAACAAAAAGAAAAACAGAAAAACAAAAATTAAATGTTACGAAGTATGAGACTGACTGTGAATAATTACAAGGAGATGCCAAGCAAAGACCATTTAGAAGCCATGTTATACTTATAAAATATAGAAATCCCAACGCGAGTGATTGTTTTTTGGGAAAATGTAAGACCATATATTTTAAGTTGTGGCGCGATAATTAAATAAGATTGATCCGAACCGGAAGCGAGGCGTGTTGGTCGCGACTGGTCGAGAAGAAAACGTACGTGGGAAGAGAAACTTGGAAAAATGGTAGTCGCGACGCGACGCAAGATTCAGTGCCGCTAATAGGATTAGCTGACAGGTCGACGAGGTCCTTGAGAGATAAGGATCCTTCCGAGGACCTCGTACCTGACCCCAGAGGGACCGTTCCTCGTTGGAGGGGGGGACGCCAGGGGCCCACGGGGCCCTTCCGGATGATTTATTGCGCTGCGTAAACCTAGTGACCTGCCGATCACGCCCCCTCGACGAACAGTCGCCGACATAATGCGCGCGTTTCGAGAAAACTGTGGCCCCGGTCGTTCGTTGCGACTCGTCTCGTGCCACGACTCCCTTTCGACGAGTCACCGCGACCCCTCGAAACCGCACAATAACCCGTTTAATCCCGTTCCACCTCCTCGCGAGACCATCTTTGTTTACCGCAGAAAGGAGCCCGGTTCGACGTCTTGTTTGGGAGGCAAATATTTTCCCGTCGGCCTCGGGACACGGGGACTCCTCGAACGCCATTTTTGCCACGTCGAAAGCTGGTACACCCTCGATATTTTGTAGAAGGATGGTGGAAAACACATCACTGTCGTAAAGCTTATAATCCTATTTGCACGTTAGCTAACGAATATACAAGAAGGCTCGAGTCTCTCAAAAATCAGATTTAGAATTTCAAATTATAAGTCTTGATATCAATTTTTATTTCGTTCTCCATCTCGACCATAAAAATATATTGTTAAGAATCGGTGGTTCGGAGCGAAAGTAAGAACGATCAACGTTTTAAAAATCTATACCCCGTTGGGGAGATCGTCCTCCGTACGGAGTAT